AATTTATTAAGAAATTAAGAAATGAAGAGAGAAATAGCACAATAATTAAAATTATTAAAATTATTGAAGACTGAAAACAAAAAAACTAAAGATGCAAGAATGCATTCTGAAACTCGTCTTGAAGCCTTAAAAGTAGCCCAAGAATAAAGAAGATGATTAGCTGAGAAATTAGAGCAATTAAGAATCAGAGATAAAGATACTTGGTGTAAATAGATACAGCTGCCGCAAATAGTAGTCGTGAGAAAATTATTTGTGATCTGCAGTAACTGATAACTATTTGCGGCAGCTGTAAATATTTTATAATGGTAACTACCAGGGGTAAACCACCATTGCCACAAATAACCAATTACGGCAGGTTTAATCAACAAGCCCAAGGAATCCAGCAACTAAAACAAGAACTATATTTAGCCAGCAAGCCTTACCAAAAAGAATAAACTACAACAGGTTACAAAAAAGATAAATGAGAAAATTCGCCTAAAAAAAGAAACAAGAGCAAATAATTGAAGTAAAACCCAAGCAGGCCAAACCAACCCACATTAATTCTTTTTTACCAAATTTATTTTTAATTTCTTTAAATAAAAGATAACAATTTTGAAATGTTTGGTTGCACAGGAAATAATTCGTTGTAAAGAAGATTCGTGGAGACTTGTAACGGTAAATTCAGTTCAGTTATGGTAACGAATCACCATGAATTTTCTAAACGTCCTGTTTCTCAACTTTAGTAATCTGAACTTTTGGGGAAGGATGAGATCAGAATCAAAAAGTAAAACTTGTGATGAGTCGTTTTTTTTCTTTGCTGCGCTGGCTTGAAATGATTTGCAAATTGTTTGAAGTATTTTCGTTTTCCAAAATGATAAATGGTTGTGGTTATTTTACGTCACCGTATCGTGCGAATCCCGATTTGTGAAACTGAAAAACTTATCTGTTTGGTTCAAAACGTCAGGGTTGAGCGAAACAGATATTTGATCAAAAAAAATCGTGTTTCGTTTTAGATGTTTTTTGCGTGGTGTCGACCGCTGTCTACCGTTAGGTCTTCGACTTGCTCCGACGTTTCAGACCGTTCAAAATGACCAAAAACTGATGGTCTTGTCTTGGAACTTTACCTCAGATCGTCAAAGGTTAGCCACACAACGTGTTAGTGATATTTTCTGGATACGAGACCGGGTTCAAAAACGGTTTATTTCGTTGTTAATTTAATGATCGATCGATAAACAAATAATATGTGCATATTTTTTTGATTGTTTGTGTTTGAAATTAAAAAATTTATTTTTTGGATTTTGACCATTTGAGAGATACGTGATCTGGATAAGAAAAAATTTTAATTTCCTTTTCAATCTTTTTTGATTTTGACCGTTTGAAGGATAGTGGACTATCTGATTTCCTTTTGAAGAAAACCATAAAATTGTTGATTAATGAAAAATTTCCTTTCGGGAAAAACAAATAAAATACGTTGATTGATTAAGAAAAAAAGCTTAGTTGATTTTTTTAACAATTGAAATTTGTAAAGATTATTCTTCTATGGTGATGTAGACTTGAAAAAAACATCTAATCGATCAAATTGACCTTTTATCTGTGATGTATAAATAAATAAATGAATAAAAAACAACTTATTCGCCTCTCGGATGTTTTTTACTCGCTTGCTTTTTGCATAGTATTTTTTTAATTTTGATTATTTGTTATTAAATCCACTTAAAAAACCTATTATCGTGAAAGGATCGATTGTGGGTCTAACAACTTGCCTTTCAAGAACCACACAAACCTCCAAAAATCCATTACAATTCAGGAAGGAGCGAGAGTCATGTTCTTGAACAACAAACTGTCCGAGCACAACATCTGCAATGGGACGATAGGAGTGATAACTAAAGTCGTTGATGATGACAATGTGATGAAAATCAACGTTCAGAAAAGCGTTGCAAATTTTGATATCAATGGCATACTAGTCGTATGACATTTCCCTGAGGCTGCTTTTCTATATTAATATTAATATTAATATTAATATGTGAAAATAGATTCGAAATTCGTGTCACATGAAGTTTTTTTTAAAAATATCTCGTTATTTTTATAGTAAACTCGAACTTTGTTGTTAGAGTAAAATGAAAGTACTCCATTAAAGCTTTCTAATGAATACTCTTTCATATCGAAAGCTTTTCTCTACATCAATTCACGGCTATTCAAAAACGGGTATTGTTTTTTCACTTCAAAGCTCAGATTATTTCTCAATATTGCTTTAAAAGACTTGATAGTAAATGAGAAGGTGTAGAATACTTTAGCCTTTCATATGGTCATTACTTTATGGGAAATATTGGTTGATGAGTTTTAGAGAGGTTCATGAAAAACTATTTTATAGAAATTTTAATAGTCTTGAAGAATTTTACGTAGATGGGATTCAGCAAAAACTAAAAGGTATTTTATTAGTGATTGATTAAAGTTTTATTAATGATTATTATGAATATCATCAATCAGTAGTTGTCATAGCAACATTAAACAATAATATTAGTAGTAACGAATAGCAAACGACGACAACTAATTATCTTTTTTGAGGATGATAATAAAGTTTAAGATTCAGTTTGTATAGGAGTGATCGTTAAGGAAAAGATCTATGAACAAAACATACTAACGAATGTTTTATCAATTATTCAATAGTTTGTGTAGGAGTGATCGAAGTAAGCATTAAGGACAAGATCTGTGAACAAAATATACTAACAAACATTTTATCAATCATTCAATGTATAGGAATGATCGAAGTAAGTGTTAAGGACAAGATCTATAAACAAAATATACTAACGAATGTTTTATCAATTATTCAATAGTTTGTGTAGGAGTGAACGAAGTAAGTATTAAGGACAAGATCTATGAAGCTTACAAAATATTCTAACAAAGGTTTTATCAATTACAAGCATTAGGGACAAGATCTATGAACAAAATATTCTAACGAAGGTTTTATCAATTATTCAATAGTTTGTACAAATGTTAAGGACAATATCTATGAACAAAATATTCTAACGAAGGTTTTATCCATTATTCAATAGTTTTTACAAGCTTTAAGGACAAGATCTATGAAGCTTACAAAATATTCTAACGAAGGTTTTGTCAATTATTCAATAGTTTGTACAAGCTTTAAGGACAAGATCTATGAACAAAATATACTAACGAATGTTTATCAATTATCCAATAGTTTGTGTAGGAGTGATCGAAGTAAGCATTAAGGACAAGATCTATGAACAAAATATTCTAACGAACGTTTTATTAATTATTCAATAGTTTGTATAGGAGTGATCGAAGTAAGCATTAAGGACAAGATCTATGAACAAAATATAATAACAAACGTTTTATTAATTATTCAATAGTTTGTATAGGAGTGATCGAATTAAGTGTTAAGGGCAAGATCTATGAAGCTTGCAAAGCAATTTTTACAAAAATGAACGTTTTATCAATCATTCAGTAGTTATGTTTATTATTTATGTATATAAATTTCTCTTTTATTTTAACTTATATTTAATAACATCACTATGATAAATAATTAAATGAATAAAGTCAGAGATAAAACACCTTTTAATTTAATCATTATTTATGTATATAGGTAAAGAAAATTTTAAAATCTATTTATTTATTATATTTACTTTTAAAATAAATGATTTTACTATAAAAGACATACCCAAGTGATCAAAAATCTGCAAATATTCATAATAATGTAATATTTGGACATTTATTTCTGTTTATACTTGCAATTGGACGCGTCAAACAAAATTTTACATATATGAATATAAAGGCTTTGAGGGTCAGATTATTTTCGGTTTTATTAACAACCTTTAAAAATTTTCTTAAAGCAGATACATATGATAAAGAAGTTAGATATCAAATTTGGTGGTGGTTGCTACA